TTTCAAGCTGCTTTTATTCACAGAACAAGCAAGCAAAGTGGAGGGAGGAAATATCTGTCTGGCAGGTTTTAGTCTGCATATTATTGTTTTATCCTGTTTTACAGCCAAGGCAGTGAGCTCCGATTCTAGCTGTTACAAGGCATTTATGTTCTCAGAACAGGATTTCGAAAAGATCCTAAGGAAGTTAGGTACTATTCGCTTTGATACAAGTCTGCTAAAACATCAGTGAATCCCATTGAAGGGTATAAAAATACATCAGAAGCAAGAAACAAAGTACAAGGGAGGATGAAAGTCCATGTTTCCAAGAGAGGCTAATGGGAGAGGAGAGAAACAGACAAAAATGACTGTGGGGAGGGTTGTAATCCCTCCTCCTTCTTTTTTTCACAGCTTATGTGTCTTGAGAACCTCCACCTGCTTCTCAGCATCTTGTGAGCACTCACCCATCTGTCAGCATCTCTCTCTCCTGGTTGCCTCATTATAGCCAGAGAGCCTAGCCTGCAGTTTTATCGACAAGAGGGAAATAGGAAGAAAAGAGACTTGAAACGCAAGAAGTTCTAGGAAAATAGGAGACCTAGATACTCATAGAACTTGAATACCAGGAAAGTATAACAATTCATTTGTATGACAGTTCATGCACAGCAAAGGACGTAGAAGTATAGGCTGCTTCCCATGCAGTTGAGCTTCATAACTTGTGCTTAACTAAAACATATTTACCAGAAGTGCTTTGATCATCTTTGTGGCTCTTCTCTGGACCCTCTTCAGCCTGTCCATGTCTTTTTTGTATAGTGGGGACCAAAATTGAACACCTCCCCAGATGTGGCCTGGTAAGTGCTGAATACAGTGGGATAATGACATAGCTGCTGGGGATGCCCTTGTTGATGTTCCCCAGCACCCTGCTGGCTTTCTTTGCCGCAGCTGCACACCGTTTGCTCATATAGTAAGCTTGTTGTCCGCCAGTACCCCAGGTCCCTATGCACAGAGCTGCTCCCCAGCCAGGTAGATTCTAACCTGTGCTGCACTCCTGGATTATGTTTTTCCAGGTGCAAGACCTTATACTTGTCCTTGTTGAACTTTGTAAAGTTCTTGTTAGTCCCCTCTTCCTGTCCAAGTCTTTCTGCAGGGTGGCTAGGTAATGTCCGTGCCTTTTTATGGGCAAATGGCTCATAGATTTTCAGATGGTGGGATCTGAATAGAGCTAAAACCAGGAACACAGAACAAAGAGCCGGAAGGGCATTTTGTTTGCAAGGTTGCACTTCTGTGTTCTGAACAGATGGCTGACAGTGACCTGAGACCTTAGCAAATTGAATCGATGAAAGAAACAAGTTCAGATTTAATTATATGTAACTGCATAAGGCACGGAAAGGGTAAAACTAAGCCACAAACCTCAGTTTATTGAGTGAATGTATGTGGCAGGAGCACATAAAACACTCATCTTTGTTCCGTTTTATGAAGTTTCCATCACAAAACAGTTGTACTGACTGAATAAATTAAACTCCACCTTTTTTATTATTGTTTCATAATTAAGCAATTTCAGATATTCATTCAATGTCTGATCTTCATTCTCATTTCTTACAACAACTGGTTTGAGTTCTCTGCTCTTTGGTAGAATAGAAAGTAGAATGATCATTGGGAAAACTCATTTTGTGAGGTACAAAGTGACCAGCAGGAATCTCTGGGACCTGTGCAACTCATTTTCTGCATGTTTCTGGAAAAACCCTTGCTCTGGTTTGGTTGGTCTCTGTGAATAAGTCACGTGTGCACATGTATGTTAGATACCTTTTTATCATCCCCTTCTGACAGAGTAATAACACCACTGACATGTCAGCTAAGGATGTGTTTGAATCAAAGATGCCACATCATGCAAGGATTGTGTGTGTAGGCATAGAGAGATTGAAAAGTAAACCACACTTGGGAAAGAAACCCTAAATAATTGCTGTTCTTCTACGTAACTGTTTATGCTGAACTTCTAAACAAATCTGATACTGTAATGGATCTGTCTGAGATGGGGTTAAGTTTTTCCACAGCAGCTTGTCCAATGCTGAGTTTTGGATTTGTGCCTAAACCAGTGTTGACACCACACTTGTGTTCTGGCTGTTGCTGAGCAGTGCTGGCACAGCATCAAGCCTTTCTCTCTTTCTCACATCTCCCCCAGTCATTTGGCTTAAGGCAGCAAAGAAGTTGGAAAGGGACACAGCCAGGACAGTTGACCAAAGGGATGCTCCATCAGATGCAGCACCACACTCAGCAGTAAGCTGGGATAGAGGGAAAAGTAGGAGTGGGGGTAGTGCTGCGTGCTCAAAGCTGTGTCCGGCCTGACCTTGACCACTTCATTCCCTCAGTCCATGCCCTGAGATTCAGGAGCTTGGAGATGTGTGAAGAGCAATTGCCAGTGGAAACTGAGACAAAAGAAGTTGCTGAGTACCTCAGTCTTCTCTGTGTCAGTTGTCACTAGATCCCCTGTCGCATTTATTGCAGGGTACAATTTGTTTTGTCTTCCTTTTCTGACTAGCGTGTGTTAGCACTTAGAATCATTGAATAGTTAGGGTTGGAAGGGACCGGAAGATCATCTAGTTCTAAGCCTCCCTTCCATGGGCAGGAATGCCTCATTTCTGTTAGGGTACAAGTGCCAGTCATTTCACATAGAGATGCCCCTTGTTTGAGAATATGCTTAATATGTAGACTCAAAAATTAATTGCAGTGGAAATGAAGAATAAAAATCAGAGCCAGCAACATAACTGTCATGCAAGACATGCTGTCATGCAGCCTGTGCCCATCTGCAAAGCTCTTTTCACTGACATATTTCATGTGTTTTTCAGTCCATCCGTCTAGCAAATAGACTCCTTTTTTGGTTTATGAGAGTCCTGTTTTTAGGTTGCTTAGGGAAGGATCAGCAGAGTCCATAAATCCTATACTTCCTTCTCTAACTTTCAGCATGTCAGCAGGTACGTGCACTGAAAATGACCTTTGAGACTTTTCTGGAATGCTTTTCTTTCCCTAAGTATAAATTGAAATATAAAAATATACTATGAATTTATACAAATGGTACTCATGTCAAAGTGAATGATGTTCTCTACTAAGTACATACTTCATTGTAAGTCTTTCAGGCTGTGATACAGATCTCAGTTTAAAGCCATATGTAAAGTTAGACTATGCAGGAGCAGAACTTCTACTGGAAATCTCTCTATTGTCAAGTCTCTACTCCTTTCTCTTTTAAAATAAGGGTAAAAAATTAGAGATGCTTCCATCCAGAAGACCAAAAACTTGCAAAGAACCATTCTTGCAGGGGTTTTCAAAATCCTGAATGGGATTGTACTCAAAGTACCCATGAGCAATATGAACAGTGTCATTAGTTGCCTCAGAATAAGGTGATAAGTCTACTAAGGAGTTCTTAGCCTTGTAGACTGCTTTTGGGAAGCAGTTCAAGCCTGACAGTGAAGAGATCTGCAGCAGTTCTCCAAGGCATAAAGTTAAAGGAGAATTACACAGTAAATAAACCTGGACACAGCATACAGCATAAGTACTGGTGAGATTTTACTCTAATTCCTAGTTGCCTAAGTTTATTGGCAGAACCGCTGAAGTTATAAGACATAATAACATTAAAATGAAACATCTTTATTTCTTTAATGGCAAGCTTTGGCTCACACGGTTTTCATCTTATGAAGTGCAGAAGGCCAAACAGACTAAATTCACAGCTTATGAAAAGCAGTTCATTCAAGAAATGAAATAATTTTATTCATCAGAGAACAAGAGAACCACAACAGCAATAAAATATGCTTTTAATTTTTTCTTCTAGAAATAGCCAATCTGCAGAAAAGAAGTCGAAGATGTCAACTGTATAATAAATGTGTTTTGAAAGAACATGCTCTATAAAAAGTGTACTCCTGTCCCTTCCAGTTTTTGTAACAGTGCGTTTCATTCCATCAGACACAACCTTGTGATAATCTATTTGGCAGAAATATTGTCCGCTATTAGTATTGTTAGTAATAATACTAATCACAGAGTGGGGCTTCTACCACAACTTAATAGCCTTGCTGAGTAGGATAATACTGTTTTGTTAATTCATTTGAACAAGAAACCAGAGCTGTACTGGGACACTGAGGCCATAATTGGGCACCTGAGGTTTTTCGGAAGAACTGAGAGAGCACTGTGCCTTTTTTATTTTATATGACAGAAAAACACATTAGGTGGAACTTTTGATGGTCTTCTGTCTGGCATCCTCCTTTGTGAATGTTATCATCGATAATCTGTTTCAGGTAAACCCTTCCAGCTGATGTTTAGCTACCATAACATTTACAGCCCCAAATTATACAAACTAAATCATATATGTTATTATTCACAATCCCTGTTTAATAATAAGTATTGATTATAGGGTTTGCTGAAAATGACCTGGAGGAATGTCAGGAGGTCCTACTGTACATTTGTAAAACTTCCAAACAGGTTTTGAATCATCTACTATAAATAGAGCACTGTAATGCTAGCTAATAGTCCACTTCTTTTTCAGCCATAAAAACTCACAGAGGTCATTACCACTGTGTTATTAGCTCATTGTAAAAATTAATTGCCCATGGACAGAAACAAAAATGTAGATAACTTCTGCACCACTATGTATCAAAATGCATATTACCCTGAAAAAAACCCCTATGGAAACTGGAAAGCTGCAGAGATCAAATATTAATGTCATTGTTGATGTTTTCTTCTGAAAGCTGGTGAACAAATTTTTTCAGTATTATCGAAATTACAGATGGAAATAAAAAATCCTCTTCCAGGATGTAATTTATTCTGGTTAAATTTTACAAGCCAAATTGATCTGATTTTTGTCACATGCTATGGAAACTTTTCACAACAGCTTCTTTGGAAATACATTAACTCCTACTCAACTCAGAAATATGCTTATAAATCCTGAAAGGTTCTGAGTGGTGCCTGTTTCTAGTAAATGTGACTCCTTTCTTTTTCGGAAGTGAATTTGTGTACAATGGGTTCCCTTTTGCTTGGCGTTTCAGCTGCTACAGAGGTTTCCTTTTCATTTGATGTTGGAAACGGGCCTGTGGAAATCGTCGTTAGATCTCCCAACCAGCTCAATGATGATCAGTGGCATCGTGTCAATGCTGAGAGGAACGTCAAGCAAGCCAGCCTGCAGGTAGACCAGTTACCCGTGGAGGTCCGGAAAGCACCAACAGAAGGCCACACGCGGCTGGAATTGTACAGCCAGCTCTATGTCGGTAAGATGCAGCGCGGGTAACAGGGCTTTGCTCTCCCATGCTGAACACTCTGTGCCTCCTGTCTTGCCAGCAGCAGTTAGTTTAATGTAGGAAGTTGGCTCCTGAAGCTCTTGCGTGACAGCACGGGGGAGAAAGAGGAAAAAAAAGACAAACATGTCCTTAACTACAGGAATAAGATCAACTAAGAGGAAAATATCTTGTGCTGGCAGCTTGTCATTTTTGTCTCTCCCCACCTGCAGCTTCTGGCTGAAAGTGCACCTAGCAAGCAGTAGTGCCAAATTCCCTTTCTGTCAAGTGCCTCTCACACACACTACAGAAGTGAAAAATTGTGAGTAGGTCTTGCCAGGGCTGCATATGCCTGCAGTGCCCATCCTAACCTCAGCAGCACTTTAAGCCTCTTTAGGTTTGATCATTGCCCACGCTTTTGTGCTCAGAGGTCTCACTGCAGTCCTTCCCTCTAGTCCCATGGGCTGTTTGCACATTTGATGCAGGAAGGCATCACACAGTGTTACACAAATGCATTCCTTGGAACTAAGTCCAGCTACTTTTTGGAGCTACTCATCTCTGCTACATTTTGGGCAGGCTATTCCAGTAGCACCTGTATTTCTCTTGACTGTTAACATCCATGCTGCAGAGTGCAGACATGCCAAGTGCTCGTAGCTAGAACCAGAACTGCATGAAATGTTGAGCAAAGAAGGTCTTTCCTACCTCTCTAGATACCCATAAACAGGAGGAGAGGGAAGAGGGAAGGAAAAAAAGACATCTAATTTTTTTTCCCCATGGTAGTAAAGAGTTCAATGGCAGAAATGGATTGAAATTATGTTTAAAGCCTTCACTGCCTTAGTGAACAGCACAGTGTCACTGCAGACTGTGTATAATGCGTCACCAGATGTGCAGTCATTATTTACAAGCTCAGATTCTCCTTTACTGTTGCCTGTGATCCCAGTAAAAGGCAGTTTCAAAATAAGCTGAAATGTGAAGTTTGTTTAAAAGAGTGGTTAAAAGACGGAGCCTTAACCTTTTGAAGGAAACACCTAGCCTTTTGCTGAAAACAGGAAGAGCTGAGGTTTTCTAGCCTGTGTTCTTGGGGAACTGTTAGTAATGCTGATTTTTATTTGTAGCTTTGAACTAAGTGTGTGTTTTGAAATACCTAGTACCTTTATGGCTGAAAACTGAATGCCCAAATCTGCAACAGATTTTCTTTCTTTCTGAATCATATCCATAACTTGGTGATTGGAGCATACATCTCAAAGAACAGATTTATAGCCTTACTCAGTCAGACAGAGAATTGATTTGAGTTGGTGGGTCCCAAATGAATACCCTGAACATCAGGGTCTGGAGAGTAATACTGAAAAAGAATTGTTTCAGTGCCTCCTGTTTCACTTGCTGCAGAATAAATAACTATTTGTTGGGCCAGCAAGAGAGCTTGAGGGATGATGACCGTATGTCCTGACGACTAGGAGAAAGAAGGGAATTAGATGCATTAGGTTTTTCTTCGTCACTGCACTGTATATGAGTTTACATAGATTGGGACCACACCAGAATGCCCTCTGCCCTGTTCACTCAGCACAGATCAAGCATTGCCTCCTCTTGCTTCACATTGTTCAGCTACCAGCCGTTGATCTGAAGCAGCCAACACTTTATGGTTTGTATTTAGTCCTCATCCCCACTCAGGTAACTCTCAGCCTCTGCTTTATGGTGATGAGCACTCAGATCTCCTCAGGTACTCTTCAGCACCTGCGGCACTGCAGTAATCAAAGAGACGAGAGGATGAGGAGCAAGGATGACAGTGACTCACTGTTATTTACTTGATTTTTTAGGAGGGTGTTGTTTCTAATCCAGCCCCAGATAAGGCTTCCGTAGCTGTAAGCTGTTCAGCAAGTGCTTACAACAGGGGGGAAAGGAACAGTTCTTATCAACTGCTGAGAAAAGCTATCTTGATGAAGGTTTTCAAATGTAGCTCTTCAGTGTTGCATCCTTCACCCTATGCTCTGGCAACTAAACAATTTTCCTGATGTTGCTTGGAATTTAACATCTGTATTTCCTATTGCAACTGAGTAGATTTATTTATTTTCCTTCTTTCCCATCATGGCTTTGAAAAATTAACACTGCGGAACATACTGTGGCATTATAAGCATCCATCATCATTAATCATTTGGAGAGTAAGGCTATACAGTAGCAGTTGAGGCAGGCCCATTTCTGTAACTGTTCCCTCTAAAAATTTAGAAGTTTAAATTAAATGAAGTCTTAACAGTAGGGGGCTAGAATCTCTAATCAGTGTAAAGCAAAAGCACATTTACTACTTATGCTTATTTATGGTATGGTATCAACAGCTTAGGTGTCATTGACTTTATAGTCATTAGGAAAAGGCAGTTCTAACCTTTACAAAGTTACTTACTTCCAGCTGTTGTCACAAGCTTAGCAGTGTATTTCCTGTAAAGCAACACCAGTATAATCTGTTCAGTGTTGTCTCATGTTTTTACATTCCCTCTCAGGTGCTGCGGGAGGCCAGCGAGGCTTCCTGGGTTGCATTCGTTCATTAAGGATGAACGGAGTGACACTGGACCTGGAAGAGAGAGCGAAAGTCACGCCAGGGGTGAAGCCCGGCTGCTCTGGCCACTGCACGAGCTATGGGATGTACTGTGCCAACGGTGGGAAGTGTGTTGAGAAATACAACGGCTACTCCTGTGACTGCTCCAGAACTGCCTATGATGGACCATTTTGCATTAAAGGTAAATGCTTTAGTGCAGGAGGCAGAGTACGGGAGAACTATCTGTCTGAGAAAAAAACACCATATAATCAATGTTTCATCTATTAATTAAACAAGTAAGTCCTGATAATGCTTAATAGTTCTTACAGACAAGTCAAATTATGCACACAGGATTTAAATGTGATGATTTAAAACCACATCTCTCATTAGTACTAATATATGTTACCTCTTTAAATCAAATAACACAACAACAACAACATGAATCAGGAATGCCTTTAGTCATAGCAGGTCTGTCTGACTCTGTTCTGTAGTCTTGAGCTGTTTGTTGTATAATAGATTCCTGTTTGCAAAATGCCATGGTTAATTCTTTAGGAAAAAAAAAATCATGGATTTAAACAAAAGCTATTTAGTCTCGTTCAGAAACATACTTGGAGATACGTAGGTGTGAGCTTTAGGTTGAATATTATATAAACTGGGAGGCTAGCATTTGGATTAAAAGTTTTATCCATCTGTAACCAGATCAAGTCTTTTAGTAGCTCAAGCGGGATTAGAGATTGAACTTGCTAGGAAAGGGAAGGTACAGAGCTGCCACATCTGTGTCAGTCCTTTGGAAATGCCTGAAGTATGTTCTGAATTTTCAAAACCAGTGATTCTAAAAGACTGGTTTGCTATGGACACACATGCCTACATGAGAAGTGAGGGAAAGATGGACATTACATACAAAAAAGAAGAGCGAGGATAAAGACGTTGAGTTATATCTGTATGGTGTTTTTTCTCATTTTGACCAGTAATGATTGAGACAAATTATTAATGGGAATATAATTTTCCAAATGTTTGTGCAGTTTGCAGACTTTGTGGCCATTCATTTGTTCCCTTTACATTTCAAGAAGAAAAGAGTTGCTGCCGTGCCATATTGAATGAATTCACTTTTTAGGTTTTTTCTGTATTGCTAAAACTCATCACACTGGCTTTTCTTTGTGTTTTTCCATTTCTCTTATGGATAGCCTCCAAGTTTCTGCCCAAACTAGCTCTAAGCTAAAGTGTCCTGTTTTTCCTGGGTGTAGCACTAACAGAACAAAAAATACTGTTTGGAATAATTGAAGACCTAACACAGACAAAACCTGTGCTTCACCAATGTGTAAGTACTGTCATATAAACAGCAGTAATACCTTATTAGACTACAGTAGTCTCCTTATCAGCGTCCCAGTCTAGCCAAAGGCCCAGGCCTCTCTGACTGTGATGCTTAGGACACACAGTAAAACTTGGTGTAAGCTACTCCTGCTGGGCAGCTCTGAGTCATGCAAAGGTACTCATGCTAGCTTGGGGATCTCTGTACCACACATGTTGTGCCATTTAAACATGACATCAGATCAGATCAGACTTTAAATATCAAAACTTATTTCAGGCTAAAAATACCTCAGTAAATCCTTAAGGCCCTAGATACGAAATGGAAATTACCAGTTTCCTATTTGCTAGTGCTGAAAACTGATGTACTCATCTAGAATATCTGCAAGTATGGTTTAGGGTGGGTGACTTCATGGGGCTTCTCTGTAGAAACAACAGTGTGGCACTGGGATACAGTTAGAGGATAAATTAAACACAGAGTAGACTGGGTTTGAGGCATCCTGTGATCAAAATAATTGTAAAACCTCTGTAACAAACAGCACTGATAATGAAACTTTAAAACAGTTCATTTTCAGCCCATTAAATTTTACATTGTAAGTTTAACTAGTATTAAGCCTTTTCAATCAAGTTAAAGCACTGGAACATCTTCTGCATGTTGTCAAACTCCCTAGACCTGTGAAAGAAGGAGATCCTACTCTTGCTTTCTAATAGCTGCTCTTGGAATCTTATACCATATCCTCTTGATCCATAAGATGAGACTGGATATATTCTCTAGATGCAAAGGCCGAACATACAGTACTAACAACAGTGAAATAAATACTGGCAAAACAGTAAAACAAAGTGTTACCTAAATTACTTTTAGTTGATTTTTTTAGTTGACTTGGATGAAATCACCACAATTCTGATATTTCAATTAATTTTTCATTAACACTTCGACACTTTCCCGTCTCTAAAAGAACTGACACGTCTATGAAAATGTTTTTAAAGACCATATTGTTGTCAGCCAATTCCATTCTTCATAGCAAGGCCATATTTTCTAACTGGCACCACAGTATGCTGTTGGATGCTGTGATGGGGGTGAGTCTAATAGGAGGCAAGCAAGCAGATTTTCCTTTGTTACCTTCACTAGGAATTCACATCAGCTGCCAAGAAATAACAAGGTTAGTGCTTTGCACAGTAAACTAGGACTGGGTTTCATTGTTCTACTCCTCTGAGCAAATCTTCAGGCCAGGTACCCTTGTTGATATGATAATCAATAGTGCCTGACTTAAGTCCCCACATCCAAACCAATGTGACATATTACCCTTAAAAAAATGCTGCGTGATACCTTTCAGTATCCCACAGTCAGCTCCTGCTGTTGATTTTATTCTGACATGGGAAGCTTTTCTTATCCAAAAAATTCATTTTGATATTCAGGGTATTTCTTCATGGTAAACTTTTAGGGGTTGGTTACACACTGCAAGTGGTAGGAGAAGTGATAGGAAAAATCAAAGGAAAAGCCCCATCATTACCTTAAGGAAATTGCCATACAATGGTTCATAATGAATAAACACATCCCATAATAAAAACAGGCCGTGCATATTGTGGATTCTTTTGCTGATGAAATCCATCCTTAGAGCCTAGAGACCGATAGCTGACAAGATGCTGCATTGCCTCCAGCCTTATTATCAGCAGATCAATGTGATTGATGTGGTAGTGGCCTGGAAATTACACTAGATTTTTGTAAGGGCCAAAAAAAGAAAAGTGCAAAAATGCAGTCTGACATCTATTTTACCTTTATTTTTGTTTTGTATTTGGGGCATACGCAATTGACTTCACTTCTTTCACTGCTCAGGGAAATTGTTCTGTGGAATAGCTGCAGTGTTTCTGCAGTCCTACAGATTGCTTTCTGACCTTTCCCTGTCCTTTGCTTAAGCATAAATCATCTCTTTTTCTCCCTCCCATAGCTGTCCTATCACCGTAAAAGCATTTCTGGGAAAACAGTTATTTTTTTTTTCCCTTTAAAAAACAAACTCTTTCCTTCTTTTAAACAAAAAGAGTGAAGGTCAGATGCAGAGATGGCTCTGCAGAGCATGTGGCAGCACTCTAATGTGGGGGATCCCCCAGGGAGAAAGCATTCCTCCTTTGGGTATTGATGTGCTGTGGATCAATGGTAGGAGAAGAAATTGTCCTCTGCCAAGAAGATGTGGCCAAGAAAAAAAGTTAAATAGCTGGTGCCGTGACTCATGTGCCTTCAGGTGTGCTGGAAGGGTAAATTCAAAGCTTCCCAGTTTCTGTGCAGTTACCCAGTTTGCATCAACAAACACCAAAGAGATGAGTGCAGTGTATAAATGTTTTTCTTTCTTTCAAGTCAAGCTCAGATTCACAGTGTGAAATATTGCAGTCCTTGTGCCAGTGCTCAAACTGAACTCCTTCATGCTTAATTTTAGGTTTTCATGAACCCTAAAGCCCTTACCATTGTCATGGTCCAGTTTCTTTCCTTTCTTGCTCCCTTGCCTGCTTCAAAGAGAAAAACTAGCTTTTTACTAGGCTGAGTGGAAGCAAAACAGACATACCAGCTCTGGTGCTACAGCACATGGGTGAAGCAGCTCTGCACCCTTTCCACAGACTCTTTGATCCTTGATCATCTCCAGATTCTGCCCTGGTTATACCCATTCAATTCTCCTCATTTTGCTGGTTGCAAATATGTTGCATTGCCTTGCTGTAAGTAATGGAGTGGAGGATTGTTCAAGCTGTGTAAGGTAGCTAACTTTGTAGTTTTCATTGTTCATAATCCCAGTACCTGGAATGTCAAAGGCAACATTCTCTCCCACCCCCCAAAACAATTCTGCTATACACAACATGATTGTGATCTGTTAGCTGAAAGTGATAACAGACATTTTCCTTGTGTTGGGAATGTTAGGCTCCCGGTCTGGTAAGCGTGAATGCTGCAGTCACGTTTTTCTACCTGTAGATCAAACTCCAGGACTTGGCTCTTAGCCTTTATTGAGTAAATATATATACTGATTAAAAAAAAACATATACTCTGTAAAGCTATTTCATTCTGCTGTCCTGTCAATACTGCCTTATTAAACATGCATGGTTATGCTCTGGTGCTTTGAAAATTGCATTCCATTTAAGTTGCAAGAATTCTTTTCTTGGAAAAAAATAACATCTTTTTTTCATTATTTTTTTAATGCAAAACAACCCTTCTCCATGCTCCTTACATATCTCAAAGAGATATCAACCCAATTATAAAGAGAGCTTGCCAGCCCACTTACAGCCCATAATACACTACTTATAAATGCAAGGATTTCTTATTCTGTATACAGAAAGGAAGTAAATCAGGGTAATGAGTTAAAAAACACTAAGTCCTGGCTCCAGAATGTGATGAACTTTCAATCTCTTTGTCAGCTAACTACAGGAGGCCTCCTCTGGTGCCAGTGCTCCCTGCATGCAGATGTTTTATCAAAGATGAGTAGAGCAGCTTCATAGCGGTGCCAGCTGCTGCATGTCTGTGCAAAGGCAACTGAGAGATTTGAGGTCCTCACACCAGACACCTCTGTGCAATATTTATATACCTGTGTGCTAGCTGGGTAGTATTGGCACCTCGCAAACTGACAAAGTATTTGTCCTAACAATAGCTCTGTGATACGAGAAGACGTTTTTGTTATAGTAATGCAGAAAGTGAATGAGATAATGAGGGAAGCAAGGAACTGCTCACTTTTAGAGTGGATTCCTGTGGTATAGGAAGGAATTGAAGCCAGATCTCACCTATCAGAGTTGTCACTCTGAATACTGTGCAATCATCAAATAGCAGTCTCTAGTATTTCTCAAATGGCTCTTTCAAAGACGCAAGTTTTTCTCTGAGGTTACCTAAAGAGCAGCCCCAAAGACACCGCGGCAGGAAATCATGAA